TTAAAAGGGAGGTTCCGAAAATTAGGAGTGCCTTGTTTTGGGTCCTTATAATAAGGATCTTACTATTTAGGGTATGAGAATATAGGGTCCCCTCTTTTCGGAAACCCCATATGAGGCCGCCTTCTTCCTAGACCCTACAGCGCAAAAGCCTTGAAGCCGCAAAACTCCGAACCTATTAAGGGAACCCCTTAAAGCCCTTACAGAAGCTCCCTAAAGAGCCTAAGCTCTTCAGGGAGTCCGTGAAGAAATACTTCGAAGCTATAAATCCTGACCATAAACCCTGAACCCTTAAATGCCCTAAACCCTAAACCCCTAAATGCCCTAAACCCTAAACCCCTAGATGCCCTAAACCCTAGACCCCTGGATGCCCAAAACCCTTTACCCTAAACCCTATAAACCCTAAGCCCTAAACCCACAAGCAAAGGGCACCTGGCTCAAGAGCCCAGGCCAGTAGAGAAGCCGCCGTCGAAGCCGGTGAAGCCGGTGAGCAGGAAGCACGGAAAATACCTGACAGTCGTTATATGGATTAAAGGTTCAAGATAGGATTCAGGGGTGTGGAAGCGTTGAAAACACCTGAACAGTCATCCCAAAGGGTTTAAGGTTTATGGTTTTAGGGTTTTTGGGTTTAGGGGCTTACCCATAGGCCCCAAAGGAGTTCCTTTTTGGGATTGCCTAATAGGGTTGTAAGTATGAACCCCAAAAAGGAACTACTTCAGGGCCTTAGGGTAGTGGTTCCCGTAAGCCCGATCCAAGACTAGTGATTGACTAGTGATCCGATCTTCCCATCAAGCTGTCACCCCCACAGGACGGACCAAAAGGAGGAACAAACCATAAACCCCGTAGCCTAGGGATCCAGGCCCTAGCTTCAGACCCCAAGTTCGGCAGCAGCTCGAAGGATGCCCCCCTTTCTGGCAATTTCCGAAAATAGGGGACCCTAGGGGTTCCTTTAAAGGGCTAATGTATCAGGGTACTATAAGGGCTCCTTTAAAGGGCTCTATAAGGGCTCAAAAGATAAAAGAGCTTGTTCGGTCCCCTAAGGCTCCGGGTTTAGGGTTTAGGGTCAGTATACTTACAGGCCTTAAAATGCCCATATAGGGGACCCCTTTAAGGCTTCAGCATCTATTATGAAGGCACATGGAGCTTTTGGGGTCGAGGTCGCAGGATGCATTCAGCCTAACTCATGCCCTGTGCCTCAACCGCAGTAGCGCACCCTTGTAACTTGAATCTGGGCATTAAACCTTCCGTCGGATCTACCTTCATGTCTAGTCTCACCACGGGCAATCTTCGGCTGTGCTGGGCTTCAGGTCTTTCGCATCATGCTCCTGAACGCAGTGCTGTGTTCAAAAGCTGCTAGTACCGTTCCGACAAAGCTTCCGTCGCCTGTAATGCCTAAATCCTACAATGGCGGTGGTCCAGGAAGCTTCGGATTGCTTAAATAAACAAACAAGTAGGCAAATAAATCAGGTATAACTAAGTAAATGTATGCATAGATTTGCTTGGAGATCAGTATACTCTTTCGCAAACTTTACTCCTATCTACACCCAAATACCTATCATTGGTTCCTGAGGACGCGTAAGGTATGTGCCAAGTCACAAGACTACTGGAGGATCATGGGACTTAGTAAGTAGGGCTATAAGTACCCTAATTGGGGATATAAGTTTAAGCCCGAACCCCAAACCCTAAACCAAGTACCAAATCGGACACGTGGACTTTTTTGGGCTACTTTACCGTAGAAAGCACCTCCTTACTCGGGATAACGGCGGGGATCCGAATCTTACTAGAGCCACAGAAGAACAGGGGTTTAGCAATTAGCTATAGGAAACGACATGACTTGCTTAAAGAACCTAGCTTTTGCTGATTCAAAATCAGAGGAAGGAAAAATGACGACTAAGCAAAACAATGATAATAGTGACAGCGAAAGACACATAACATCAGTCTTAAGATGAAGAAGAAGAAACATCGTGCTAATGATGATAATAACAGCATTCGCGAACCAATAGCAAGCACTAGAACAATAACACCAGTAATAACAAAACAATCACAACAACGAATATCAGCGACAATAACAATAAAGTCAACAATAACAATAGTAGCAAGGACAACAACAATCTTCCAAGCAATAAGAGTAGAAGCAGTGATAGTGTCATCAACAAACACAAACATAATTACATCATTAACCATGAAACAACGACCCTAGTTTCTGGGGCACTTCTTCTTCTCAATCTTGGAGCACCAGTTCCAGCATGAAGTGAGGCGGCCTGTCCATTCAGACTGGGTTTTCCTTTGCCTTTTCCGAGTTGAGCTGACCTTTGCACCCAGAGCCTTCAAAACCCAATAATTAAGGAATATACCTTAAGTTATAATAGGATCCCTAATATGATCTTATATTCCTTAATTAGGGGGTTTTGGAGGCTCTGGGCATATGTGCCGACGTGGGCTCTCACCCCTCCGCCAAGAACGGGGATGGGTTTTGGAGTTTGCAGCATTGGGCTCGGGTCTTAGGCGCTGGAGTTTTGGGGCTTCGGCTTTGGGGTTAGAGCCTCAGGATATGGAGGAGTTGCGGCCGATCAGCTTTGCAGTGATAGGACCCCGTGGGTCCCAAGTACCTTTTAAGCAGGCATGTGGGTTTGGGTAGAAGGAACAGCAGGTTGCCCTAAACCCTAAACCCTTTGGTATTCAGGAAGTTTGTCAGCATCATGTACTGCGGTTGATGTATATAATAAGGAATATACCATAATCCCCATAGTTTAGGGTCCTTAAGGTACTGCAGGATTTATATCATCAACCGATAGACCCTTAGGCCGAGCTAAAGCTGACTAAACCTTAAGTTGGCGGCTGCCGCCCTTCTTGCAAGCTAAATGTTTAGGGTTTAGGATTTAAGGTTTAAGGGTTTAAGGTTTAGGGGTTTAAGGTTTAGAGTTTAGGTTTTAAGGGTTTAGGGTTTAGGGTTTAAGGGTTTAGGGTTTATAAGGGTTTAGGGCTTTAAACAGCTTCACAACTCCGTAAACCCTCAAAGGCACAACAGTTGGCTTGGGCCTCCGGGCTTGCTCACAGGATTGAGTGATTGAAGTTGACTGAAACGAACTAGTCCCTATGCGGGAGTTTCCGAAAATACGGGACCCTTCTATAGTACCCTAAATAGTAGGATCCTTATTATAAGGCCCCCAGAATAAGGTACCCCGCATTTCCGGAAACCCCCATACCTCCCTGGCCACTAAACTCCTTAAACACACGCGCAAAGGATCACTCTTCTGATGCATTTTTCCCGCAGTCCGCAAAGCATGTCGAGGCTCGATCCCGCAAACCGAAAGTCTCTTACAATCCGTCTGAGAGGGCTTAGGGTTCAGGGCTTTCTGCTGGGAAGCCAGGGTTTTGGCAGGTAGGACCTATTGCGGGCTAGTTCGTGGACCCTGGCTTACATTCCGACAAGCATGAAACCTAGCGGTCAATGCATGCCCAGAGTTGTTTCCAGACACAGCTCTAATTGGCCCGCCAAGAACATAATAAGTGCGCTTAGGGACTCCTGATAGGATTTCCCTAAATACCCAGAGGCTCCATAGTAGTTCCGTTTTGGGGTTCATAAATAGAATCCTATAAGGCAATCCCAAAAAGGAACGACGATGGCGCCTATGGGTATTCCGTTAAAGAATCAGCTCTTGATTGGTTTGCAGGTATATTTTGTAGGAACCTGATATTAAGAAACCTTGGGCCTCGTTTTTTCAGGGCCCCTTATATGAATCCTACTATTTCGGTGTTATAGGCCCAGGGCTTCTTGATCAGGTTTGCAGGTAATGCGTAGGGCCGAGATACGGTTGATGATATAAATCCTGCATTACCTTAAGGGCCCGAAACTATGGGAATTATGGCATATTCCTTATTATGGGTCATGCAGGATTTATATCATCAACCGTATGAAACCACTTTTCTCAAGTTCGCGAACCAAGAGCTCAAGGCACAAGGCACTTCTCGTGATTTAGGAGCCCTTAGGGGTAGGGGGAGAGGGGCAGGGGACTACTTAGAGGATCATGGGACTTAGTAAGTAGGTTATAACTGGGGTTATAAGTCCCCTAAGTGGGGTTATCCTAATTATAACCTACTTATAACCTTACTTACTAAGTCCCATGAGCCTTCAAGTATACTTCCTAAAACAAGCCTGGTTTCTTTGTTATGAGCACTGAGGCCTGCTATACCCCCCCGACCCCCTACACCCCTTCCCCCTAAGGGCCCCTATAATAATATAGGGGCCTTAATGATTAGAATGGGTTTTGGGGCATTCTATATTATAACTATACTAGGAAATCCTAGGAGCAATCTCGGTAATTACTTCGGCCCCGATCTTAAAGTTCTGAGGCTTTTCGGCGTTGAGGGCTTCAAATCATTTTGGCAATTTGGGTTTAGGAATTGCAGCCTCCTTTGTGCTTCAAACATATGCTCACAACGATTTTCGACTTGGTTACAGCATCCTAACCAGACGGAAAACTCGGTAAGAAGATAAAGACATTGGACTCCAAAGGTACGGCTTCTGGAATTACCCTAAACCCTAAACCATATACACTAAACCCTAAACCCCTAAACCCCAAACCCTAAACCATAAACTAAACCCCTAAACCCTAAACCCTAAACCGCTAAACCCCTAAACCCCTATATCCTACACCTTGGGTCCCGATCTCGGGCCTAAGACCTCAAAAGCTTGCTATCAACGGTGCGTTTCGTCGTTTAAGGGGTCACGCAATTTGATCCGCAGAAAGGCATCTAAAGGGTCCGGGGTTCGGGGGGGAGGTTACCCTACACCCTAAGCCCTTGAATCCTAGATCCCTACATGCTATAAAGAGCTGGGTCACACCGTCTCGTCGTCTACCTTCGGAGCATTGCATAAGGAATGCGTCTAAAAGCGTTCTGCGACATTCTACACGATTGGGTTTAAGATGGCTTAAGAGTGCACCTTCAGGTGATGCTGCACTCGAACCAAAGACTCTCGACATCTCTAGTGGCTGCATCTCTCAGCGGTGTCCTTTGCCACCGAGGCCCCCTGTCATGGACATTGCTTTGTCCTCCAAGGGATGCGGATGGGCTTTGGCTCTTCCGCTGTTTCCGCCGACTAAGCCTCCGGGTTCAAACACTGGCTATAATGCTTGTAGGGCCCACGTGCCCAAATAGTATAAACTTGGCTGGGAACACGGACCCTTCGAGTGAGGCTTAGAGGGTTTATTTAGGGTTTAGGGTTCAGGGCTTAATTTTGGGTGGTCTAAACATCCGGAAGCATTCACGTACAAATGCTACCAGCTGTCCTCCTTGACTTTGCGCAGCTCTGTGCCTGATGCAGAGATGCGCTGTCTGTGCTGTACTTATAGTCCTTCAGAAAACAGAGGACCCAAATGCACACCCTGAATACCACCAAAAGCCCTAAACCCGAGCTCGAAACCATAGAAACACTACCCTGGACCCTAAGCGAAACGTATTCATCTTGAACCGGATTCCTCTCCCCGCTGAACCCTCAAGGCCTAAAGCCCTAACTCCCATAGACCCAACAAATCCAGAGGCCTAAAGCCCTTGAAGATCTACAGCCTCAGCTCTCCGGGACTAAAACACCACCAAGTGAGAGTTGCGGAAAGTTAGGGGGTACCGTATTTGGGGATCGCTATAATCAGGATCCGACTACTTAGGGTACCATATTAGGGTCCCCCATTTTCGGAAACTCCCCAGTTGGAACGAATGATGACAGGAACTCCAAGAAACACGAACCATAACAACAGGGACCAGGAACCCGGATGATCTGAACCCCAAACCCTATAAAGCTAGGGTTTAGGGTTTAGGTCTGCCATGCCGTAGACTTAAAGCCGTAGTGTAGACACTCGAAGTCTAAAGCCCTGAAATCCCAAGCTGAACACTGCATACAAACCCCGCAAGCCCCTGCGAAGAATCTGAAACTCTGACAAGTAAAGGAAACCCTGTAACCCCTGAAACTTGTTCCCCTCCTAAACCCTAATCCCCAAGTCCTACCTTAACCCAAGATGGCCTGCCTTTTGAAACTGTACGAGGAAATCACTATGAAGAACCCCAAGTAGGGCTTCTACTTGGAGGGTCATGGGTAGTTTCAAGTGGGGCTACAAGCCCCGAACTCTGGGTTATAACTATAGATATGCTACTTATGACCCCACTCATAACTACCCACGAACCTCTGAGCAGGGTCCAGGTAACGCCTAAGCCACGAAACCGGCCTTGCGGCTTTCCACGGAAGTTGGTAAACACGCTGAACTCAACGAGGTCTCCTCGCTGGTAGTGCCTCACCAGGTTTTAACTCTACTCCCCTTGGAAGGTAAGCAAAAAACTACTTTTTCGGAGACCTCTATAAAAGAAGACCGGAACCAAAAAAGGAACAAAGTAACACAGTCTCCAAGAGCCTTAAAGTTAATATGTACTACGGATTTCAGGGATCCTGGGGTGTAGGATACAACTAGATAAAGTAAGGCTTAGAGTTTGGGGTTCGGGGTTTAGGGGGAGTCTGTGAAGACTTCGGGTTCGCTTAATGTAGGAACCTGATTAAGAAACCTTGGGCCTTTGTTAGGGTTCCTTATGTGAATCCTACTATTTTGAGGTTGTAGGCCCAGGGTGTCTTAAGCAGGCCCCTATATTGAGTGCATTGGGTCTTTAGGGCCGTTTTGGGGTTGAGGGGTCGTGAGCCTTGAGGTTTATACTCGGACTGACTACTAACTCAAGCTTTGCACGCAGCAAACCGAGCATGTCACAAGCTACTACTTCACATGGTTCCATAACCTCGAAAACAAACTTTCTACCACACATCAGCCAAACAACAGATCCAAGTACGAAAGCCACGCAGCCTTATCGCGACGTAACTTCACATGAGGGTACCATAAGCCCAAGCAGCTCCTCACTATGACAACCCTTTAGTAGCCTGATGAGGAAAACTCCTCCAAATGACTCCAGCCAAGTCAACTGCCCCAAGCGGCACCCTACATAAACCTTAAGCCCTAAGCCCTGAAGCACGAAACCTTAAACCCAAAGTAAGTCTCGTAAACCTGGAAACAAGCCCCCCGCTTCTTTTGGAAGTGGTGGAGGAAGACGTCGGAGTCCCCACCGAAAACTTTCGAGAATTCCTCGCTCTCGATGAAGCCAAAGCCCTACCAGGATGCGAGGATTTACAGCAATGATCATAGGATGCTTGGGGCAACACAGTAGGAGCTTAAAGCTGTGATATAGGGGCCTTAATCATTAGAATAGGGCCCCTTTAAAGGCCTATAAGGGATCTATAATATTACGGTTCTACTAGGATTCTATAGTATAGGGGCCTTAAGAATTAGAATAGAGTTTAGTTTCGGGGCCGATTATATACTATAACTATAATATGGAATCCCCCAAAAAGTACTGGTGATTATTTAGGCCCCTATAGTAGGGTGCATGAAAGCATCAAAACAGGGGTTTAAGGCTAAGGTTTGGGGTGTGCACAGGCCAAACAATAATTTGATTGCTTGCAGCAGTCCTCCGACTCTTTGGCTAGGCTTCAGCGGTAGGTAGATAGGTAGATGGATAGACGGAGAGATAACACATGTAAGTATGTATACATATGTATACGCATACAGACTGACTATACAGGCTGAACCTATCTAAATCCATATCTATCTCTATGCCTTTTGTAGTTATAGTTACTTCGGGACGATATTACAAAAACAACAGGACGGCTATGGTCTTTGGAGTTCAGGCAGCGCAGCCTTGTTCTCGAACCAGAATTTGATTCGACCAACGAACCTGCACATGCCAGGCTTGGAGATTGAGGGCGTGGGGTTTTGGGGTTTTGGGAGGACTGCTCTTACCTTAGGATCCCCGTTGCTACTGGGTTGTAGGGATCGCCACCATCAGCCCTGGAAGTGGCACCACTGTTCTGGAATAGATCTTTTTCCCTGAGCTGCAATCGGATCTTGGGAGCCAAGCCCAAACCTCAACTTTACCTATAGTCTCCATTGTAGTTCCTTTTTTGGTTTAACCAATTATATTAAGGATCATAAAGGTAACCCCAAAAAGGAACTACAATGGAGACAAGAGGTAAGCCCCCCAACCCTAAAGACAATGCGCAAACCCCTGCAACCGGAAAGCCAACTCATACGCGCGAAACCTTTCAGCCGCTAAGTCGTGAACCCTGAATTCCCTGAAGGTCCATGTACCCAAATAGTATATGCATTGGCCTTAAAGTAGTCCCTATATAGGTACATTGGGGCCAAAGTATATCCTTGTTTGGGTACATGGACCCTTAGGGATTGGAGACCCGAGATCTGGCGCGGATTTCTTGAAAAGGAGGGCTTGCGGAGATAGAGTCGGTTTGCTTTTACGATTGGGGCATTATTTCAAAGGGGAAAAGGAGGGACTCTTAATCGGGACCCCTACCCTATAATGGGCTATATAATGGGTACATAATGGCTATATTAAGGGTATATACCTAGGGGTCCTTTGTAAGGGTCCCTCCTTTTGCCCTTGGATTATTGGGATGAGCAAGCTGCAAAGGCACAGGCCCTGATCTGGGTAATATGTGTGGGACTGTAGGAGACTACTTGGAGGGTCGGGGGACTTACTAAGTAGTTATTTTAGAGAGTTATAAGTACCATAACCCCAATTAGGGTCCCTTTTAGGGTACTTATAACTCTGCTTATTCCCTACTTACTAAGTCCCCCGACCCTCCAAGTAAGGAAGCTAGAGCTGTTTCCCACTCGGTTCCTAAACCCCAAGACCGCCAGCTGTTGGACAGATTCCCTTCTGGTGATTCTGGTGATCTTAGGTTCATCCGTCAGTCACCCCCGCATGTGGGCTTCGACCCAGATATAAACCACAAGCTTAATCCAAGGAAGGAGGGGGTGAGGTTTACGCTAATCGTTGAACCAGCCTCCCCGGTTCTTAGTAGGGAGTGGGGGCATCGATCCCTATAATAGGGTCTAATTAAGGTCTTGTATAGTAGTCCCAGTAACCCATTCCCACATTCCTTACTAAGAACCACAGAGTAGTAGTAGCCTAGCAGGGCCGAGCAGGAGCAAACAATGAAACCGTTGGCAGAGGCCCTTCTTGGACCGCAAACCTCTATAGGGTTTAGGGTTTTAACGTAAGCCCTAAAACTCCTGCAAAACTAATTAGTACGTAGGTTATGATCCCTTAATTGGAGGCTCTAACCCTTAAAACAGAAGGTTTGAGGATCCCCAGGTTCGTACGCCGCAAACCTTACACCCTTTTTTGAAGGCACTGCTCGATCCCACAACAAAACCTTCTGTGCGAGGGCATCCATCGACGCATTGCAAATCAGCCAAGCTTGACAGCAGCGGCTCTTTAACTAGGTTACCCAGTAACCTAAGAATAAAAAGGCCTCTCCTTTTGGGATTGGGTAACTTTATAAGGAACCTAGGACTACAAAAAGGGAATAAGGGTACTACTGGGCATCCCAGTGTTCGGAGATTTGCGTCTCAGGGTTCACTGATCAGGGTTTAGCGGGGCCCAAAACCACTACATCCTGAACCTTGCACTCGAGGGACGCCAGGGTCCTTTTCACACTACACCGAAACCCCCTATAATCCTACATAAACTATTATACACCCTATAGACTCTAAACCCTAAAGCTCTGTGTGTGTGTGTGTGTGTGTAACCACCTGCACCACCCCAAAAACCCCTCTGCTGCCTCTTGTCCGTGACTCCCGTGATCTGCTCCATGTCGGGGGGCCGGTAGTTGGGATGGTTCACGTTGAAGGACGAGCCATAGGAGCCCGTGTCCTGATTGCAGTATGATTTTAGGACTTAGGGTTGCGTCAGGTTGGAGGTCTGGGGCTTTGGGCTTAGGGTTGCTCACCGCACGGTGTCTGCGATGATGATGATGGGGATGATGATGGTGACTGTTGCTGTTGTTGCATTTAGGGTTTTAGTGTCGTTTTCAGATTAACAGAACCTTCTAAACCATATGCCAGCATCCTCCTCATCGTCGTCATCTGCTGCGGGCAGCTTCTGTTGCTGCGCGGCCATGTCTGCAGCGCCGGAGCCGGCCATCATGACCTGAAGGTCACCGAGTAGAGGCTTTAGGTCTAGGGCTTAGGGTTTAGGATCTATAAGGGTACTGTAATGTAGGGGCCTTAATAATTAGAATAGGGTTTTGGGGCCCATTATACTATAATCATAATAAGGAACCCCCGAGACAGTCCGAGCAGAGGGTTTAGGGGTAGATTTAGGGTCTAGACCTAGAGGCTCCATATATAGTACCATTATGGAATTAGGTTCCAAAAACCATAATAAGGCCTGATTCCATAATGGCGCTATATATGGAGCATCTGGGAGAGTTGAAGTTTCAGGGTTCAGGGGCCTAGACTCCTGTGCCGTGCATGGGGCCCGAAGTGGGGGGTGTCGGTGGTTTTTGTTTGGGGACTTTTGTTTTTTTTTGATGGGGAATGCTTATCTCGAAGAACGACCCAAAGGGTCCTAGGTACTGTTATGGGGGATACTTCCCAAAATCATAATAGTAATTCCTAATATAGGAACCCTACATTCTGCCATAAAGGTACTTTGGACCCTTTGGGCGAGAGAAAATATTAAAGTGAGCAACTTTCAATTCTGAGCAAGGTTTCACTACACCACCATGATGGAAACTTGCCCCCCCAAAAGACCATTCTAATCATGGTTCTGGGCGCTCCCACCTCCGTAGTAGTATTTATGGATCCTCTTGCTAATGTAGTCGATCACCTAATGACTGAACCCCTCTTGCTTAATCTATAAGGACCCACAAAAGAGATCCAAGCACTAAGAAGAAAGGGCCTTTCCTAAGGAAAGGGCGTCGACTAATGCCGGGTTAGTCCTGGACGAGTCCCAGAGCCTCCAAAACCCCTTAATTAAGGAATATACCTTAAAGTATAATAGGATCCCTAATATGATTTAAGGTATACTCCTCAATTAAAGGGGGAGGAGTTAAATCATATTAGGGATCCTACTATACTTTAAGGTATATTCCTTAATTAAGGGGGTTTTGGAGGCTCTGGGGTTGAGGGTTCAGGATTTTGCTGTCGGGGGCTCGGGCCTCCGGGTGTCTACTAATCGGCATGAGTCATACCTATAGTCTCCATTGTAGTTCCTTGTTTTGGTTAGCCAGTTTTATGGTTAGGATCCCATAATCGAGATTTTGGTTAACCCAGAAAAGGAACTACAATGGAGACTATAGGTAGTATCCGCTCCTGGTTTCTGCCGCGGAAAGTTTTTGAAGGTGGAAGGCAGCATGCCTAAGCTGACTTCAAACGGTTCACAAACCCGAACGCCCCATCTATACTCCTAAACCCTAAACCCTAAACCCTAAACCCTCGGACGTTCAACTTGGAATCTAGCAGGACCCGCGACGTCAACCCAGAGACCTAGCCCTGTAAATCCGAATAATGTCCACAAAGCGGTTCCAAAGCCGACCTACGACATATCTAAGATAGGGGCCTTAACAGTTACAATCGTGTAAGTAACTATTTAAATTTATGCTACCCTAATTTAAGGCCCTAAAGTAGTTCCTTTTTGGGGTTCATACTTACAATCCTATTAGGTAATCCCAAAAAGGAACTACTTTGGGGCCTATGGGTATAGTCAAGAATTACTACAGTCAAGAATGACCCTAACCCTAAACCCTAATTCTAGGAGGGGCTTTTAAAGCCTTTGAAAAATATTAGTAGGTAAGATCCTCTTAAGCCCAATAAGAGAAAATATAAAATGCCCCAAAGCCCTACCTAGTAATTGCGTGCCTGGCCCATCATCGCGGCGCCCATCATCATCATGGCCATCGGGTTCATACCCATCCTTGGGAAGCTTGCAGTGTTCCTATGCTTTAGGGCGGTTTAGGGTTTAGGGTTTAGAGGTTTAGCGGTTCAGCGGTTTAGGGTTTAGGGCCTACCTTAACCCTGAAGAACCTAGCTTTTTAGGGTTCCTTAATATGATTTCCGTATAAAAGTCCGTAAAAGGGTAGGCAATTCCGATTCCGGGTTAAGGTAGGGTTTAGGGTTTCTGAGCATTCGGGGTACTTCTTATAATAAGGATCCTACCATTGAGGGTACTCTATTACGGAAACCCCAGAAGGTAAGGGCCCGAAGGAGGCAGGAGGCACCCCTTTGCCTGTATGATTCTATCAAGTGGAGGACCTTGTTTTGCAATGTAGAGGCTTGATTCGCTCTTGCCATGATCCTTGCTGATCCTTCTTGCCCTTCGCGAAGGGTTCAGGGTGCAGCTTTGCTGTCGTTGGTAGTATCACCGATATGTGTTGCAGGTGCACAATCCTGGAGAAGTAGAAGACTGCCCATGAGGAGACGGGCTGAATAGCTTCTGCAGTCAAGTGACGTCATGGCCATCGGGTTCATGTTCGACCCCATCATGCTCTCATCTGCCTTCGTCACAGAATGGCAGCCGCCCTCGTCCTCGGGCTTCCTGGCTGATCTAAGGAATCTAAGGGAAGCTCTCGGAGAGGGCTGCAGAGCGAAGCATGGCTCGGCCGCAACAACTACAATTAGGTTCCGTGCCCTTGTGCAACAAAGGTTCAGGCTGCCAGTGCTCTGCCCAGCTCCACAGTTGCCGCCGCAATTGGCAGCGCATCCACAGCCGTTTCCGCAGCCACAGGCGCAACCGCCGCAGTTTCCACAGCCACAGCCAGCGCAGTTTCCAGCACAGCCACAGCCGCAGCCACCGCAGTTACCACAGCCACCGCAGCCGCAGCCACCGCAGCCGCCACAGCCACCGCAGCCGCCACAGCCGCCGCAGCCGCCACAGCCGCCGCAGCCGCCGCAGCCCCCACAGCCGCCGCAGCCGCCGCAGCCGCCACAGCCGCCACAGCCGCCGCAGCCACCGCGGCCACCACCGCAGCCACCGCAGCCACCACAGCAGCCACATCCGCCACAGTTGCATCCACAGCCACAGCCGCAGTTGCCGCAGCCGCAGCCTGCACTGCAGCCTCCGCAGCATCCACCGCAACAGCCACCACAACCGCAAGCACCTCCGTTGCAGCCAAAGTTGCCTGAACTGCTTGTCTGAACATGAAACACCATGAAGTCATGACGTTAATAATCGTGCCTGTCCTATACCACAGACTAAACCCATCTCTTTTGTCTCTTGAGTTTCAGCCAGCGACATGAAGGACCCAACAACAGCATTGCAGGATTTGCGGTTTCGCTCAAGCCTGAGCCTTTCAAGGCTCGAGGTTTAGGGTTTAAGGATGCTACAGTATGAAGATCAGCTTGCAACCTCTCGGGCCAGTGCCTGTTTGGAGCGGTGGAGTGCGGTGCCATTGTATACCATCGTCCGATATACACCTAACATTGCTGCGACAGCAGAAGACTGCTGCAGTCGCCGATTCAAAGGTCGGCTCTTTATATCGGGTTATATTCTACTCGATATGATATTCTTGGCCTTTTGACGTAGTAAGCCTGTCATGTGTAAGCCAAGCAGCTCATCTCGTGAAGAAGGACTCCCAAGGCCCCGGAACAGGAGTCGGTTCTGTGGAAAAACCCTTCCAGAACCCATTAAACCTCTCATCCTCGGTTTAGGGTTTAGGGAACCCTAAGCCCCCAACCGCCCTTGATGGAGACGTTTTTCGGTGCAAGCTGAAGGTTGCAGGGTTTGGAGGCACAGGTGGCAGTCGAAAGCCGAAGCCACATACCCTTAATGATGGTTTGAGGGTTTACAGTAGAAACCAGAAAGTTGGAACAATATTAATCCCATGCCCCGGCACTGATCATCCTAAATCCATGTTCCAATTTTCTGGTGCTCGCTATAAAGCTTACCTTAACCCCGAATAACCTACCTTCTTAAGGACTTATATAAGAAAATCATGATAAGGAACCCCTAAAAAGTAGGTTCTTTAGGGTCCAGGTAAGGTTTAGGAATCCTTAGCCTGCACCATTCCTAAAATCACTCATCCGCCCCAGCTGCTGCCACAGGCTCCGCCGAATGCCTCTTGTTCACAGGCTCCGAACGGCCTGCGACATACCGTTGACTGTTGGCAAGGGTTCTTGGCCCCAGCTGTTTTATTGACCAACACCTGCTGACTTAGGGGGTCGAGCATGACGGTTCAGTCGAACATAGCTGTATACATACATATATATATATATATACATATGACGCTTATGGCTGCTTATGTACATGGTAAAGCAAAAACCTAAGCCACAGCACGATTATGACACTGCTGCACACCGGATTTTTCGCAACAGAATCATCGATTGCACATATGTATCACCATGTTCTCTTTTCGGGGGAGTGTGTCTTAGGGATAAGTAGTCGGCGACTGAAAGCTCAAACCCGAAATTCAGAATCATACCCATTCAACACCCAACAAATGCACTGTCAAACAGTGTAACTCTTCACAACCGCCTCTTTCAGCAGGACCGTCGCCTGTGCTAGTTCGGAAACCCCCATAACCCTAAAGGTCCACGTACCCAAACCGCATATCCTTCGGCCTTGAAGCAGTCCCTAAATACATAGGTACTTTGGGCCCAAAGCTTATATTATTTGGGTACATGGACGAGGTAACAGGCACACTTACATAGGTGGATGCCCTCAAAACCTGCAAGGCCTAACCGTTTACGCTTTAAGGTTTGGGGTTCCGGGCTTAGGGTTAAGGCTTTTGGGGTTTAGGGATTTCAAGCTTAGGATCTAGACCTCATCGGAGGTTCGAGCCCGTAGGGCCCAGGTATCTCCACAGAGTCGGGCTTTAGGCACTTTAGTTGCCAGCAAGCATTCAGAGCTGTGTGTTTGGAATCGGCATCGAAAGTGTTTACACCCCGAACTATAAGTCCAAGACCCTCAACCCTAAAACCCCAACCCAAAAGCCTGACACCAAGACCTTTGAACACAAACTTTAACACCTAATTCCAACCCTAAACCCTAAACCCTAAACCCTAATTCCAACACCCTGAACCCTCAAACCTTATGGCTCCAACTTGAAGCCGCCTGGCTCCTGCAGCTTTGGGCGTCGTCGCCAAAGACTCTGCAGGGGGTGGCCCTGAGTGGCTTTGGGAAATAGGGTGGGGATTTGGGATGCTCTAAAGCAGACTCGCTGAACAACTCTGAGGCATTTCATAGCGACTTTAGTTGCTTAGCGTGAACTTGGGTGTGGATTCAAGAATAGGGTGTAGGGTTGAGTCAAAAGGGTTTAGACGGCGTTGGCCCAGTCTATTCCAGCTGGCCTTGGGTGTTCGAACTGCCGACAAACAGTCCAGAGCCATGCAGCCACAAACATGACTCTTGGAATCGTGTTCGGATTTTTTTGGCATCATGCTCCACGGGTCAACATGTTTCTGTAAGCTTTCATGATGTAATCCGTGCTCCAGGTTTAGCACGTACACATATCAATGACAAAATAAACAGGTACCTCTGTTAAGAGAGAGAGAGAGAGAGAGAGAGAGAGAGAGAGAAAACACAAGAGTGTGTATTCCGCTTCTTCACAGGCTTATTATCATTATTATCATGATGGTTATTTTCATTGTTATTGGTACTATTCTAGTGCAACCTATGTGTGCACATATACATATATATATATATATATATATATGCTCACGCCCCCCCCCCCCCCCCCCCCCATGATCCACCCGAACCTGCTTCTTGCAAACAGTGGATCATGGGAGGTGGGCAGCCTCGGATGCGAAAACACTGCCAGGCACCAATTTCCCCAAAGTTTGCAAAGGCGGAAGTGCGAAAACATCGACAGGCACCAATTTCCCCAAAAATCCCAAACTCTGGGCAACTATGGCCCGGCACGCCTCATAGATGCCGGGTTTTTGGGGATTTTGGGGAAATTGGAGCATAGCGAGGTTTTGGCACTTCCAGCCTCACAAACTTTGGGCAAATTGGTGCCTGGCGGCGTTTTGGCAACCTCGGATGCGAAAACACCGCCAGGCACCAATTTCCCCAAAATTCATACAGCTGAACTCTGACGGCCTCCATAGATGCCAGGATTTCGGGGATTTTACGGAAATTGGTGCCTGGCGAGGTTTTGGCACTTCCAGCCTCACAAACTTTGGGGAAATTGGTGCCTGGCGGTGTTTTGGCAACCTCGGATGCGAAAACACTGCCAGGCTCGAATCTCCAAGATGCCTGAAACCTGAAATGCAAAAGTCATGGAAGAACAGGCGTACCATGTGCTCATACATGAGCCTTCAATTGCTTCCGTTCTCAAGTGTGCTCTTGCTTCTTTCATCGAACAAAGTCATAGCTGTTGTTAAGATCACCTTTGCTCAATGTAAGAAGTAGAAGAACAGCTGTACTTTAGAATATTGAAACCTGCTTGTGTTTTGTGGATGCTTTAGAACGTTTTTTTGCGAATGCACATGTTCGTTGAACTGTACATCATGTTTAGATGCTGTCGAGTTCTTAAACTCTTGCCCGTAGCTTGAACAAAGAAGAAGTATTCCTTGTATTCAAAAATACCTCACAAACTGAAGAAGCTGATAAGCTGCGATATTTCATATCATTACATATAAGGTGCCATTCAGGCGACACTGGGGAACCTGGTAAATGAGCTTTCAATTGCTTCGATTACCGGCGGTACTAACTCTTCTCTCGTGGAGCAAAATCATAACCGAGTCAATGTCAACCTTGCTCAAGAAGTAAGTCCAGTGTTTGACTGTTTTCCTTAAAGCATAATGAGAAAAGATGTTTTTCCACCATTTCTTGGAGGCTATGAGGAGAGGTCTGGAGCTGTTTCATGCTGTATTCAAAGATGGCAAGAGCTATATAACTCTTGCGAGTAGCGCGGTGCAACGGAGCTCGATTATGTGTTCTGAGCCAGGATCGTCTTGCATCTGCTAAAAAGAAAAAACAAATGTGTTCAATAAGGAATGCTTTCCAGATACATGTTTGTCTTAATCCCCACGAAGTATAAAGCGTAAGAAGCTCGACATACTATGCTTGTGACCGAAAGTATTTGGAGTTTGGTGGAGGGAGACCATGTCTTTCCCTAATCACTCCGATTTTGTGGTATTGGTATACTGCAAGAGCTCGTTGAGTTCCAGCCACTGAGTTCCAGCGACTGATAAGGGACTAAGGTGGCTTATTGTGTTTCTTTGTGCTGAAACAAGATTTCTATTGATAACACCACCTGAACAAGAACAACCATGCTTCCCTTGTCGGTTGAAATTTTGAAGATATGATGTTGTTCGAGGTTCCATTGAAGCATGAAGATACACGGGGATTCCTTTCCATGTCTGATGGGCAACACCTCTGTTTAGTGTGGTTACAATGTTGCTAGTAAGCCAAACATACCACTGGCATGTTTGCTTTCACTGAAGGAGTTGTCCTTACAGCTTATGTTATGAAGAGAAGAGCAGCTGTGTCTATTCAAACTGTACATCGTAAGTAGTTCGACAAACTCCAAAATAGGAAGGCCAAATTTTGACTTGAACAGCAGGAGCTGATACGAAGCAGTGGACAAGAGCGCGGCAGCAAAACCAGAATCCAGAACCAGAATCTGGTTTCGGTTTTGGCTTGTTTGTATATGATATAAAAAGCGAAAAGCTGCATCTGTACATGTACATGAACTGCATAAAACAGCGTAAATACCGATAGATTCTGACTTTAGCAATACGCATCTTGTACCAGAGGACAGTACAGGAGTAGTTGAGGAGAAGGCTGGGGTGGATCATGGGGGGGGGTGTGACCATATATATATATATATGTATATATATATATATATACAGAGAACGAACGCACATGTCTGGAATGTCGTGTCTTCAACTCCGTCCGCAACCCCTGTAAGAAGGCATTTTTGGGACACACCTGTAGATGAAGGAGTCTACTAAGTGACAGGCCATAGCGCTATAATCGCCGGGTCATGATCTACATACAGTTTTGGGTTTGGGGGTACAGGGTCTAAGTTCACGCCGTCGACTCCAGAAGTTTACAACATTCAGAGTTCCCTCGCCAAGTGACCCGGGGGCGGTGGAGGAACATTCTCTGATGGCGTGCCTCGCAGCCGGTTGGACTGCAAGCAGAACTCCACTCAGACAAACATCAACCGAGACTGACCCGAAACATCGGTCCCAGTGCTCCTCTACGAAGGCACTCCAACTACCGTGGGCAAAGATGATCGACAACCGTGTTGTTGAACCTGAGTGCCATGGGTGCCAAACCCACAGCACTGTCAACCCTGAACGTTCAAATCCCAGCTCTACATGGGAGTTTCCGAAAATAGGGGACCCTAATTATGATACCCTAAATAGTAGGATCCTTATTATAAGGACGCCAATATAAGGTACCCCTAATTTTCGGAACCTCCCAAATCGCGAAATCGCGTAAAACCCTCAGGTTCCTGGCTTCGACACCCCTTGGTTCAAAGCACAGAAGGGGTTTAGGGTTTAGGGTTTAGGGTTTAGGGTTTAGGGTTTAGGGTTTAGGGCCGAAACCCACGTCTAAACTCCATCGACTCCTCAACTCCATAGACCCCACCTTAACCCTGAATAACCTACCCTTTTAGGGTTCCCTCTTACGATTTCCTTATATAAGTCCTTAGAAACTTAGGTTCTTCAGGGTTAGGTAAACTCTACAAAATCCTCAACTCTATACACAGCCGACCTTCGTCGGATGCCCTTTGCCGCTTTGTCGGAGGCTCTGCAGAGTTGTGGGAGGCCTGCTCAAGGGCCTCGATCTGCCTTAGGACTCAGGATTTAGGGTTTAGGGGTTTAGAGTTTAGGACTTAGGGTTTAGAGTTTAGGGTTTAGGGTTTAGGGTTTGGGGTTTAGGGCTTAGGGTTTAGAGTTTGGGGTCGGGTCTTCAAGGTCGAGGTTTCAGAGTCCTGGCGGTAATGATTGGTCTTCATAATAAGGAACCCTGAAGACACATATTGCAGGTATTTTGGCTTCTATAGTATGAGAGAGCGGTTTGTGGGCTCCCGTTTAGGGTTTAGAGGGCTAAGGATTATAAGGTACGGTTGATGATATAAATCCTGCATTACCCCAAGGACCCTGCACTATGGGAATTATGGTATATTCCTTATTATGGGTCATGCAGGATTTATATCATCAACCGTATAAGAGGTTTCCTGGTTCGGGGTAAGAGAGACATCTGCCTGGGAGCAGGCGATTGCTTTGAGAATTCGTTGTATTCCAAATTCGACGGGCCTGTTTAAACACTAAACTGAATCCTAAACCCCTAAACACCAAACCCTAAACCCCTACACACCTAAACCCTAAATCCCTAGTACTAACCCCTGAACCCTAAACCCTAAAGTTTAGTATTGTCGGAGCGTTGGGGGCAAGTCAATCCCGGGGTTTGGAGGTAAGGGCTTCAGAGTTCTGGCGTTCAGGGATCTGCCTGGCTTGGGACGATACCGGTTAAGGCTTTTTGTTTGTTAAAGCTCCTTTTCCCAGGGGGCGGCTCCATGCAGCATCCTAGAAGGCCGGTTGAGGGTTTAGGGTTTACCAGGACCCCCCAAGTGCCCTTTAAAGGGCTCTTATATTTCTCATTAAGAGGTAATTTGGGGCTACAATAAAGGGTAGTTGGGGGTCTAGGTAGGGTTTGGTTTGACACGTTGCTTGGTTAAGGTTCAGGGTTTACGGCCTACGGTTTCGGGTTACGGGTGCTGCATGCTCTGCAGTAAGTCGAAGGGAGGATTGCGGACCCAAACAGAATCGGGTGGCTGCTGGAGGGAGGCGCCGATGTCCAGCAGTTTCCCCTGCTCGGGGGACTTTCGACATGTTTTGGGGTTTCAGGGGCTAGGGTTCCAGAGTTTACAGATGCACGGGCTTGCAGGATTTGGGATTTACTGTAGGGGTTTGCAGTCGTGATAATGATAATGTCGTCGGTAGATACAAGAAGAGACGCTCTAGCAGATGAGGATTCGAGTTTTGAGGCTCAGGACTTTAGTTGAGTTTACTATAGAAGCCTTTGTAAGTAGAACAGAGTGATGGAGGTTAACTACTATAGCTGGTCTTTGTGGACACAGTTTGCAGCTTCTCAGATTCCGGATTTAGGGTCCTTAAGGGTTCCGGATTTAGGGTCCTTAAGGGGTTCCGGATTTAGGGTCCATAACAGTTGATGATCTAAATCCTGCATTACCCAGAATTAATAAGGAATATACCATATTTCCCATAGTGTAGGGTCCTTAAGGTAATGCAGGATTTCATCATCAACAGTGACAAGGGGACGACAGCAAAGGGACATTGACTCGAGATGCGCAAAACCTCGAAGCAGGAAGCCCTGAGCACTTTCAGACGTGCAGCTAAAACTACATCAACCGGCCGAGTACCATAATAAGGATCCGACTATTGAGGGTACTGTATTTGGGCCCCCCATTTTCGGAACCCTGAACCAAGAACCCAAAACCCTGAACTCTATGCCAAGCTTAGCCTGGGCCCTGACCTAAGCCCCCCTCCCCGGTACAGATAAAGCTGCTTGAGGCTCCTGCTGACTGTCACACCAAATCTAGGACATGTGAAACCATCGTGCTTTTCCTATGTTGCAAGAATCGCCAAGATCGGCCGAAACCCCACAGCCCAAAAGCAAAGATGTATACATACATACATATATATATATATGTATATATATATATATATATATATATATATATATATATATAGGGTTTCGGATCGAGTCTTAGAGACATTGCCGACGACCCCAGTGCTAGCGCACGCCTCGCAGCCATAGGAAAAGCTGCGGCCCCTCGTTCGCCAGCTTGGCACAGAAGGGCACGGAAACTGCGATCCAAGGCCAGGGCAAGGTTACATTCTGCCAGGGCCCTCCGACAAAGCCCCCTACCTGCCGACCTCCACAGGCTTTCGGCACACCACTCCCGCCCGTTGTACCGCGAAGCACAGAGACGGCCTATGGGAAAGGCTGGAAAATGGGCAAAGCAGTGGCCAGACAAGCATGCCGAGCAGGACTATGGATGGCAGGACTACTCTGCCTACTACAAGGATGCGCACGAGAACCGCAAGGACCCAGCTTCCCGCAGTACGATGCGATGGTGATCCGGGAGCCCAGGAATGGCAAGCCAGAGAATCCTCCCCCTGCCGGACCACCGAGTGCAGGAGCTGGCGACTTCCTCCGTACGGTCCAGAAGCTGACCAACAACCTACGCCGTGCGGAACTTCGCCTGCGAAAGTGCTCCGAGGAGCAGCACCAGGTGAACGAGAAATGGGAGTGCTTCCAGAAGGAGCTCAAGCAGAGCTTCATGAAGGAATGGTCGAGGTACCGCGAGTACAGCACCAAGCTACAGGGCGACCAGGAGGATGCAAAACAGCATCAGTCGGCAGCCATCGAGGAGCTGTACAAGTTCCTCGCCGACCCGACCCAGTACAAAAGCACCCCGACCCCGGATGCACCGCCGAAGGAGGCGGTAGAAGAATGGGAGCGTCTCATGCGAGGAGCAGCAGCAGAGGGCGACGAAGGCCTCTCTGGACTTTTGGCTGGCGCCCTTGGTGGAGCTGGGGCGCGAGAACAGGCGACCAAGCATATGCTCGAAGTTCTGAATGCCCATCGCCACGGACAACAAAGGGAACGAGAGCGAACCCCCCCTCGCAGAACCGCAGAAGCTCTACAGATGACGCCACCGGCACCGACAGGGCACCCTCGCTCGCACCTAGTCCTACCGCCAGATGTCGGCTTGGAAAACCCGGATGTGGTGATGCGGCCCAAGGACGAGCCCTACATGTCATCGCCGGGAAGCCGCCACCTGCTCCCCTCGCCAGGGCAACGAGCAAGGACAGCACATCCGAGGACCCCTCTCAAGGCCCAGGGACGGCAACCCCTCCAAGCTCCTTCCACGGCCTCCTCCTCCTTGGCGGCAAAGCTGGAAGCCAGCAGGGAGGCCCTACGCTCCGAGATCCCGGAGACAGAAGAGGAGAAGGCGGATGGCGAGGACCAAATTATTGGCAGCCTTCGGGCAGCCAGCGGCCCCCCAGACTATATCGAGATCGACTAGCTTCGGGCCGGCCGCCCGGGGAGGCGATCGATGCTGACCCTCTTCGAGACTCGATGGCTTGCTTATTAAAGCGCGGCAACCAAAACATCGTTCCACTTGGTTTTGGACTGCCGCCACGACAATGTCACTACGACGCGGAGTATACCATGGTTGCGGATGACCCCCGCAATGCTGCGAGGCTTTTTCGGCCAGTCCTCACACAGCAGCACGCACACTTTTGTGGCCGCCAACTACCTTGGGGCGGACCTGATAAGGAACAACGGACACACGATCCTCTGCTTCCTTCAATCTCGACACCAAGAGCACCGCCTTGGTCTACGGCAATTTCCTTTGGGACTGCCATATGGTGGGACATCTTTGATGTCCAACACTGGGCCCTGTCATCTTGTTGGCAGTGGCTCCAGTATTTTCTAATCGGATGCGCACAATGTGGAGCATCCCTCTCCCTGCCCTTCTTCCTCATTGTTGCGATTGTGGAGCTGATCGTCTTGGGGGCCCAGATGGTATGGTCACGTCCCTTCGCGACCCAGCAGGGAGGAAAGTGTTCCAGTTTCAGGACAAAGTGGGTATACTTTGTCTGTCCTCTGGCCATGTGTGCCTGCACGGCACATGCGGTCACTCCAGAAAGGCCACATGGGCAGGTCTGGTGGACGGCCCGCCTCCCGCCCCCAACGGACCTGGAACTTTGGTGCAGTGGTCAGTTGACGGTGTCGGAGCAGCTCGCACTAGCACTTCAGCGAGCGATTGGCGAGCGCCCCCTTGAAAGCCAGGCGCTTTGGCCAGACAACATTGGGAGAGAAGGACCCCAACCAGTGCCACCACCTCCTCCGCAGAGGGAAATTGCCCAGGAAGAGCCCGACCCGTGGCTCATCGATGAGGACGAGGAGGATACCACCCACATCTCCTTCCGCCTCTTCTCGCCCCACTTCGAGTCGGAGTCTATCGACATCTCGTTGACCTTCCCACTTGTGGCTGAGGATGTCCTCGACTTCCTCAAGGACACGGCCCGAGTCATTACAGCCCCCTGGCTCACAACGGCGGCCTTTACGCAGCCCCAGCTGCACAATGACTACGGCAGTGTTGTCATCTTTCCAAGCTGGCTGAGGGTTTCTCCGCAAACGGTGTTGGTCCTCGATGCGAGCGAGATTGGACAGGGCCAGTTCGCCTTCTACCACAAAGGCGACCTCACCAGGGCCCAAGTCCTCCAGCAACTTGAGGCGATCCCTGAGTTTGCGATCGAGATCTTTGCATTTGGACGCCGAACCCCGATGACGGAGACAGAAGCCCTTGAGCCTGTCCTGGCTGGTTTGATCAAGGTTGTCAGGACAGGGGCGCCGGTACAATGGGCCTCTAGTATCGAGCCCAGACTCGCACTACGAGCAAATTGGGACCCGGACACCCCACACCCCGACCATGTGGGAGGGTCTCATATCGCTTTCCAGACCTCTACGGACCAGAAGCTCCACCGGGTCTTCCACGATGACCTCTTCACCCCCCTCGGCGTTGCGAGCGAGATCTTCGACAGGGAGCAGCAGCAAATCTGGGTCCGAGCCCCTACGATTCGGCCTGTTGGTCTCTACTGGAAGGGAAGACGGGTACACTCCGTCATTGCTGTGGTTGATGCCTTTGAACACCCTCCCATCGACTCCTACATCGTGACTCTAGATCTGCGAGGAGTTGGACTATGGCCGATTTGGGTAGCCCTCCAGCAAAACTGCTTCTTCCCGGGCGACGTCGTTGAGGCACTCGACATCCACTTCTGCCAGGGCTTCTCCTTGGTTGTTACGGGAGGGCGAAAAGGCCGTACCCCGGGCCTGCTCTACATTCAGGACGGCGACCTCCTCGAAGCTTCGTTGCGTGCAACAGCTGACATCACGCCAACCCAGCATGAAGGAGGAGAGAGTGAAGATGATGATGAGGAGTCGGACAATGGTGACACAGACTCAACCCGGGACATGCTCCCATCGTCTGATGAGCTGCCAGACGCGCCCTTTCCGACGGGCCCGGGTCCTTTTGGCCCCCCACCACCACAGCCAGTAAATCGTGACCGAAGCAGATCCCCAGCGAGAGGTCATCCCGCCTCCCGGGTGCAACCCGAGATCATCTCCCTCATCGACCACTTCCCCAAAAGAGACGTTGAGCGCTACAGTCTCTCCGCCAATGCGATTACGCTCCCCCAGGCGGACTTCAACCCCATGGTGATCTATCGGCCGTGGCCTCCGACATGGCTGCGATTTGAGACGTCCTGCCTGAACGTCCCCCTCTGCACACAGGCCGCACTGCAGACCTTCTGGCCGTGGACGGCTGTGCTCTCTCTTTGTGCAAGCCATGGACCCCCCCATCTTCGGCTGTACACGGATGGCTCCTGGCTTGAAAAAGCAGGCCTTGGTGGCTTTTCGGTCGTCGTCGTGCTGGAAGTGCAGAGTAAGTGTGCACTCTTTGGGGCGGTCTGCGCTCAGACGCATGGGAACGCTGTTTCCCCATGGCCACAAGCTGGCCCCCAGGCCCTGCGCAATGAGCAATTTGCTTTGGCTAGTGCTATGCTCTGGGTTTTCCAGTCCTTGCCCTGGATTGTCTTCGCGTCGATCACCTTCTGCTACGACTGTCTAGCTGCTGGCATGGCAGCTTGTGGGGAGTGGGCCCCTGACTGCGAGATGATGCAGCGAATACGCCACCTGCAGCTCTGGCTTATTCAGGTTGCAGGAGCACCCGTGGCCTTTGAGCACGTCAAGGCGCACAGCAACCACCCTATGAATGAGCTCGCTGACTGTATCGCTAAGGGGCAGCAAGCGGTGACCTCTCAGGACTAGCCCCGCCTGATGAAGTTGTGGCCTTTCTCCTTGAGAACAACCTCTCCTGGATGGCACCTGCTCTGGACCCCACTCAGCAGCAGGCGCTTCCCTTTCAAAATGGTGGCAGCTTACAGTGGGAACCGGAAGCCACTTTTGCTGCCTTCCAACTCCGACCCAGTCAGCTTGTCCCCACCACGACCAAGCAGATTGGGCGTCAGACCACAGCAACTACGAGCATTGAGATGGTTGCGATTTCCTTGAACGCCCAAGGCCTCCGCGACAAATGCCGATACCTTGAAGAGCAGTTTACAGAGGAAACCTGCCATATTGCTTTCCTGCAGGAAACAAAGATGCCGGTTGGGGTTTGCACATCTCGGGAGTACCTGAGACTGGGTACCGAGGCTCACAAACACTGGGGTGTGGGAATTTGGGTGAGCCGAACCCGTGGCCTCTTTACGACCGATGGACGGGCTGTGCACGTGCAGGAACAAGACTTCTACGTGGTCAAAGAATCCCCGCGTCTCCTGGTAGTTGAGGTCTCTGTGGCTGGTCTACGCATTGTGCTCTTTGCGGCGCACTGCCCACATTCAGGTCAAAAAGCAGCTGCTGCCGAGTTCCTCAGCGACCTCCACTCCGTGCTGGCCCCCCTCAAAGGTGCTCATGTGATCCTTGGAGGTATCGACCTGAATGGCAGACCGCCCGACTCATACGAACAGGTTACTGGGGAACTTCCTTTTGGCGACCCGGACGACACCGGCCACGCTGCGGTTGCCATCTTCCACGCCCTTGGACTCTGGATTCCGGCAACCTTCTCCCAGTTCCACCAGGGGGAATCCCATACATACAGGCATCCCCAAGGGCATCTTCACCGCCTCGACTTTGTGGTCCAAGGGGGAAAATGTGCTGTACATCAGGTTGACAGCAGAGTCCTCTATGGCCTTGATGTTGGCGGTTTTGCTGATGATCACTGGGCGGTTCGGGCTGCTTTTGCAGCCACCATCCCCCAGGCAGGTGAGCAGACCCGCCTGTGGAGGCCCAAGTACAATTTGGGAAAACTGACCAGGAGGGAAAAGCCAAGGTATCAGAGGCCATGCTCGCCTACCGCCCGCCGCCGTGGCAGACCCACCCTGATGAACACTGCCACCACTTCACCTCCTATGTCCAAGGCATCCTTGACGAGCACTTCCTCAAGCAGCCGGATGACCCGAGAGCTGAGTACATCCCTGACAAGGTTTGGCATCTACGCCAAGCTAAACTGGACCTGAAACTTCGGACTAGGAGCCGGTCCAACTTGTGGGACAGCCTCCTCCACAGAGCTCTTCTCCAGTGGCGACATGGGGTCAACATGGGGGTCGAGAAGCTCCTGTGCAAACAAGGCTTTCTCTACCAGCTTGCTTCGACAGCAGTCGTCTATGCCACTTCCCTGATCAAGAAGGGCATCCGCACCGCCAAAGCTGACTACCTGAAGAACTTCGCTGCTAAAGGAGGGTCACACCCTGCTGACATCCTGTGCCACCTGAAGAAGGCTGGAATAGGGGGCTCCAAGGTGAGAAAGCCTTCTCGTCAACTTCCACTGCTGCTGGACCCCGCAGGGAAGCCTGTCAAAACTAGACAGGAGCGCGACCTGCTGTGGCTCCGCCATTTTGGCAAACAGGAGCTTGGACAGGTTGAGACAGTCCACCAGTTCCTTGCGAGGGACAACCACCCGGTCTTCGTCGATCAGCACCTGCATTGGCAAACGACCGACTTGCCGAGCCTCACAGAGATCGAGACCGTCATCCGTCTCGCACCCAAAGGACGTGCCACTGGCCTAGATGGAATCCCATCTGAGATACTGAAGGCTGCGCCAGGCCCGATGTCCGCTGCACTGCAATCCCTCTTCACCAAGGCTTCCTTGATGCTTTGTCAGCCTCTCCAATGGCGAGGAGGAATATTGTATGAGTGCTGGAAACAAAGTGGCAAGAATCCGACCCGGCGTCCCACCGCAGCTTGTTCGTGTCTTCGACTGTCGGCAAGTGCTTCCACAAGGTGACGAGAAGGAAGATCCAGGGTCTCGTCAATGAGGGGCTGCACGAATTTCACATGGGAGCGAGGAAGGGGCAACCGGTCCTTTTCCCGGCGGCCTACATCCTGTCCTTCCTCCGACGGGCCAGCTCAAGGGGTCTTTCTGTAGGCGTCTTCTTCTTGGATGCCGAGGCGGCCTATTACAAGATATGTCGCGAACTCGCCACGGGCACCATTGAAACCGATGCTGTCGTTGTCTCCATCCTTGAAAGATTTCGTATCCCCCCAGATGACCTCCACACGCTGATGCAAGAGGTCTCTGAAGGAGGGATGATGGCAGATCTGGGCGTCCCACCAACGATTCGCCACATGGCAAAAGACCTCCATGCGAACACCTGGTTCGTATCCCCGCATGGGGACGGGAGCCTCCTCTCGCGCACAAGTGCGGGAAGCAGGCCAGGCGAAAGCTGGGCGGACGTAATCTTTAGTTTCGTCTTCGGCAGAGTCTTGGCCCGGATCACGGAAGTGGCAAGGGGTGAGCAACTTCTCGACAGCATTTGTGCCGACACTTCTGAAGGGCCATTCGCGGCCCCGGGCATGGGTGATGAGGCCTGTGCCAGTGACGCCACTTGGGCTGATGACAGCTCGTGGGCCCTCACGGACAAGTCCCCAGTTCGCTTGTTGGACAAGGCTACGCGGCTCTGCTCAGTCGTTCTTAGCCAATGCCAAAGCTACGGGCTTGTCCCGAACTTGAAACCGGGCAAAACAGCCCTGCTGCTCCGCTTGTCTGGCAGCGGAGCAAAAGGAGCTCGGCGAAGCTACTTTGCGCACGGTCGCCGCACTGTGCGACTTCAAGATGTGGCCCTGGAGGTGCAGGTCACAAACCACTACAAGCACCTCGGGGGCATGGTTGATGACCGCGGCTACGGCACTTGTGAGGCCAAGCGAAGATTGGCCATTGCTGCTACTGCCTTCGACAAGGGCAAGGACCTTCTCTACCACAACACCACCATCCCCCTTTCAGTGCGTGCCTCCATTCTCCAGGTTGCGGTGACCTCTACGCTGCACAACATCGCTTTGTGGACACCGACGGGACCGCACTGGGCACAACTATGTGGGGGATATGCGCGTTTGGTGAGGCGGCTCCTGACGAAAGATGTCAATTCCGAGGCCCTCCTGCACATTCCTGCCGTCTTTGCCTTTGTCGCAGCAGAAAGTCCGCCGCTCCCCATAGTCGCGACCAAAGCCAGATTATCTCTGCTCGTTTCACTGGCAAAAACCGCCCCGGTTGCTCTTTGGGCAGCATTGCAGGAGGAGCAGAGCTGGCTGCAAACCGTGCAAGCTGACCTGTCATGGCTGTGCCACGGGGAAGAGGACCGGTGGCCAGCCTTGGGTCCGGCACACTGGCCACAATGGCGGAGTCTCCTTTGCGATGCTACGATGTGGTTCAAAAGACAGGTGGCGAAGAAAGTCACAGCAACAGGTGCTGCCTACTACAAGGAGCAGCGAGCTGCCCTGTCCCTGTGGGCCATCTACCGTAAAGCCTGGGAACATTTGCCAGTTGTGCACTCGCAAAGCACACAGCATGTCTGCCGGCCGTGCGCCAAGACTTTCCGTACAAAGGGGGCACTGGGTGCCCACTTTCAGAAAACCCATGGCCGCTGTGCGAAGTACCGATCGGTAGTGAGTGGTACGATCTGCCACTCATGTGGTGTCCAGTACTGGACGGTTGGACGTCTGGCCCGGCACCTGAGAGACACTCCGGCCTGTGTTGCGACTCTCCAGGCCAATGGCGCGACGGTTGCTACGCTGGTCCCTGGCATTGGCAGCCGGTTGCGACGCAAAGCTGACCAGGAGGAGTACCACCCAGCGCCACCTACGAAGGTTGCCGAGCACGTGCAGCGGCAAGGCAGCGAAGAATGGGATGCGGTACAGAAGGCAGCCCACTTTGCCCTCAGTCAAGCACTGCAGACGGTGGACCTACCAACCGATGCGGGAGAGGCTCTCTGCCTCATCCAGAAGGTGTTGGAGGAGTTCCCGCTCTACTCCGACGAAGCCCAGGCGATTGTCTTCGAGCTCTCGAATGAGATCTCCCTGGTTGAGGACGAGCTTCTTCAGGAAAGCTGGACGCCGGCTGTCAGCTCGGCGATCCGGAAGGCCGTTGACACCTTCCTCTCCACTGAATGGGAGATTGGGCGAGATATCGAGGGACCGCGGGTACCACCAGTCACCTTTGAGACGGCCATGGGCGAGACAAAGGGTTTCGATTGGGACACCATCCTCTCCCAGCTCGATGCAAAGTACGGGACCCGGCGCGCTTCAGCTTTTACACTGCCCCCTGACTGGGAAGCCGAATGGTCAAGGCGTAGTGCTGAAGTTAGCTCTTCGGCCGTGCTAGAACGATTGTGGTGCTGGATCCCAAGGGTCTTACAAGAGGCATGGGCACACTTCCTGAATGGAGGCAGAGTACAGCTCTCAGGCCCTGCGGACTTTTGGGCGAGCCCACTAGCGGAGCCTTTTAGAAGCTTCCGCTGCGATGTGCATATTAATTAGGCTGCGTACTTCCTCTGAACGCCTGCAAAGCAAAGCAAAATATATATATATATATATATATATATATATTATGTATATATGTACCTATATGTGTAGATGTATATACCTATAGGTAGGGTGTTTTGCAGGGAGAGCAGGTGTGTGTATAACAGCCTAGCAGCTTCATGCGAATGAGCCTCAGCAACATCTTGGTGCAAGATCGCCCAACCCTAAACCCTAAACCGCAAATCTTCTAAGCGCGGACCTCTAAGGATCCCACTGTTCAAGCCCAGCAGAAGCCCCGGTAAATCAGCGAACATTTGGGAGTTTCAGAAAACAGGGAACCCTAATATGGTTCCTTCAAGGGCTACTATCAGGGTACTATAAGGGCTCCTTTAAAGGGCTCTATAATCATTTGGGAGTTTCCGAACATAGGAGACCCGAATTATAGTACCCTAAATACTAGGATCCTTATAATAAGG